TACTACTACTACTACTACGGCACTTACTACTACTACGGCTACTACTACTTCTTCTTCTTCTACTACTACTACTACTATGACTACGTGTACTACTGCTACTACTACTACTACTACTACTACTACTACTACTACTACTACTACTACTACGACTACGACTACGACTACGACTACTACTACTACTACTACTACTACTACTACTACTACTGCTACTACTACTACTGCTGCTGCTGTTGCTGCTACTACTACTACTAATCATACTACTACTGCTACCACTACTCCTACTACTACTACTACTACTACTACTACTACTACTACTACTACTACTACTACTACAACTCATCGCACCCCTCTCCCCCCTACTGCTCCTCCTGACTTGTCGCCTCCACTCCTCCCTGACACTCTGCCCTTCTCTCCTCGTGCTCATCCCCTGCTGCTCCACCTCCTCCTCCTCATCATCATCATCTTCCTCCTGCTCCTCCTTCTCATTCCTCCTGCTCCTCCTTCTCATCCTCATCCTCTTCCTCTCCTCCTCTTCCTCCTCCTCCTCCTCCTTCTCCTTCTCATCCTCCCGCTCCCTGTACGATGAGCCTGATACCCACTCGCCCCGTGAATGTCGCCCGACCACAACTGTGGAGCCGTGTTCCTCACCCCCATGGGGAGCCCCCCACCGGTGTAAGACAGGCGGACCAGGCGTGGGGATCCTAACGGGCGGTTCGGGCGGGGTGACCCTGACGGACATGTGTCGGGCGGGACGGGCCCTAGCAAGCGGGTCGAGCTGGCGGGCCCTAACGGGCCAGTTGGGTGGGCGGACCATTCATGCGGGCGGGCGGGCATCCGGGCAAACGAACGGGCAGAACCTCAGGGGATGGTCGGGCAGGCGGGGCATTGCGGGCGGGTCGGGCGGCTGACCCTGAGGGGCAAGTCAAGCGAACGAACCCGACTGGGGGGTCGGCGGGCAGGGCGTTGAAGAAGGGACGCACGCGTCTGGCGGCGAGTCGGGTAGGCGGAACAGTAAAGTGGGCAAGCGGCGAGGAAGTCCTGGTAGAGAGCGCCATTCCGGAGTGGCGAGACCACAATTCCTTCGTTCATTGCGATGAAAATTCCGAGCGAGGGGGTCACTCCCAAGTAAGCTGTCAGATAGTCTCGGACGAGGGCGCGATTCCGTAGCAATTTTTTGCCCCAAGCGGGAGCGGGCCCATGAAAAACGACAGCGCAATTCTTGAGTAAGTTGCAAGGGCGCCTCGATCGACAGCACTTTACGAGGAGGTCTTGGACGACAGCGCGATCCACGTCAAAAGTTTCAAGAAGTCTCAAGCGGGAGAATTTGCTGTTCTAGCCAAGGGCAAACAGCGCAATTCGGACGCTCTGCTCCATCCTCAGCAAAACACCCGGCGC